TGTGTGTGTGTGTGTGCGTGTGTGTGTGTGTGTGTGTGTGTGTGTGTGTGTGTGTGTGTGTGTGTGTGTGTGTGTGTGTGTGTGTGTGTGTGTGTGTGTGTCTGTGTGTCTGTGTGTCTGTGTGTCTGTGTTTCCGCATGCATGGCCCTTAGGTTGTGTTTAGTCTGGGAGAAAGTCATTAATCACGTTTACATCAATTTTCTTTTTTAATTTTTATTCCAACAGTTAAGGACGACTTACGACACACTCAGGTTTTTTTCAATTTAATTTATGCCACACACACACACATACACACACGCGCGCGGACAAACATACCAAAAATAATGTCTCCATTTTTCATGGAGGTAATTAAAGTCAGAATAGAGTCATGTTGAATGCGTCACCCACTGTCGCAAGTCATCAGAGGAGAAATAACCATAGCCGAAACACGTTATGAATGTTATCATGTAACAGAATCGATGGATTGTAAAACAAGCATATTGCATGTACTAGTAATATGGTAATGGTGATTTCCAGCTGAGACGGAGAATGTCAGCGGATACATGGTTACTGATATGATTAGATCATTAATATGAATCCGATGATCTCCGTGTGACAACTTCAAGATAGTTTTTCTAGATAGTTCCCCGAACGTAATACGCTTTGAGTCTAGAGGACTAGAACTTAATAACTAGTGTGTATTTGTAATTCTCGTGTTCCCCTTGTCAGCAAAACTGGCATAGGTGGCAAGGTGGTCTCCTGCCTCTGTCTAAGTCTCTGCGTTGAAAAGGTTTTAAAAAAAGGAGAAAATAGTAAAAACTGTCGTTTCTCTTCTCTAGTTTTCTTCTTTTTTTACTTAGTTATACCCCAGTCAAAAACGGACAAGGTGGTCTTGTGGTTAGGGCTGGTGACTCAGAATCCGAAGGTTCTGGGTTCGAATCCGTGGTAGGCCCCATAATTTGTGTTATTGGGAAAGGCACTTATGCACCTAGTACCTAACTTCGGTTAGGGACGTCCTCTCGGATAGGACGCTACGGCCGGAGGTCCTGTTTTTAAGGAGGGTCACATCTTGAGAGTCGCACCTTAAAAACCCCACCAAACGTCTGGAAAAGAGCAAGGACCCTTCCCGGTGTGAGTGGTTCAAACCTTACAGTCTGGTCTCAGTGTTGACATCTTGAAGAGGTGAAAGTCACCTGTTATGTCAATCCTTCCACAAATGTGATAAATATTAATTGATAAATAACTAGAAAGGCAACATTTGCCATAATGGATGATTACTTTCGCATATTGTCTGCTCTGTTAATTCTTAGTTACTCAAATACATTAACATGTATGGTGACAGGAGTCTAAATCCTTCCTACTATGAAATTGTAACTTTACGTAACCTAACACCAGTTACCATGGTGATAGATGGTCTGGTTCAGGTCATTGACCAAGTCAGTGTTTGGAACGGAAGAAGAAGAAACAGAGTACAAACACTATGTTTTCGTTTGGTAAACATAAATATTACACACAAGACGATGGCAATGTTTGTGATACGACAGTTGTGGTGTAGCAGCAGAAGTAGAGTTTTGTCCCCTCTTCTTTGCGAGAGTGTAACTTAGAGTGCTTTTTGCTTGCTGATCCACTTCGTTTCTCATAAAATTTGTCTCTCATTTCGTGCGGGGGAAATATAATAATACATACAGCAAAATACTACGTCGAAGTAAGAGTGTAACTAGGCTATCGCCTGTTGACGCGTTTATCACCAGTGTTAAAATGGTGTACAATTCAATAAGCTCCCAATCAATTACCGAAATGTATATTTACAGAATTGTCAGTAAAATGTTATTACGACTATAGCTGTAAACAATGCAATAAGCTCCGAAGTTAAGTGCCCAAAGCGATTTCAGGACAGTAAAACTGGATTTTCAAAGTCAATTTCCTTTGCTTGTTCATTTGTTTAATGTAGTAAGATTGAATGAATCTTATCCCATAGCCTGCTATCTCGAGGCAAAAATGCGATGTCGCTGACGGAAGTCGGTTACTTGTTTCCGATCGCAGATTGGTTCAAGAGCTATTTCTTTTTGGGTGGTACCCAAAACTAAAGAAACGCCTCACGTCATATGACGAGAACTGGCAGTATATGTCCTTATCAGACATATTTCCTCATCCTAAATATTATTTTTGTTTCTCCTGCCTTCAAATTGCATTTCTTGTCTTTAATTAAAGGCGAGTGAAGTTTATATCCCCCACACGGCTGGTGTCGGTCAGGACAGGAGCTTTTTCCGGTGACGTAAGCAGTGACGTAGCCTGATGTTTCTTCTAATCAGTTTTCAAGTCAAAGTTATAGTTTCACCCAGAATTCTCTCGGGACTAATTTAAAGTAGATGGTGGGAAAAGCAGGGTGACAAATTTGAGAAATGTTCAGATGGTCAAAGATGGTTTCTAATGTTAACCTAAATGAAAAATTGATATATTGCTATTGGAAAGCTCTGTGTGTGTTTGTGTGTTCGTGTGTGTGTCTGTGTTTCCACATGGCTCTTAAGGTCGGGTTGTAATGGATTTGGTTGGGTTCATTCTTTACCAGAGGGGGGAAGTCATTAATCACGTCTACATCCGGTAGTACTCGCTATTTTTACGGGTGTTTTTCATTACATGACCTCTTTGACAGCTGGTGTTGCTTCCCTTGTACGGTACTAATAAAAGAAAGACACCGTCACGGTGGTGAATGAGAAGAGGGCACAGCCACCATCACACAACATCTAGCAAATACTTCATGGAGGTCTGAGATCTCCGAATTCTTGTTTTGTACTGCCCAGAGAAGAGACTACATCGGTGACATCGGATCAAACGTGAGTCAATCTAGGTCTGTTCAGTTAAAAAAAAATTCCGAGAGGCGAAAGAACGTTTCAGTCTTGTGATAATTGATGTGCAATTTCCGCTACGCGTTCGCGTGGTTGACGTCATTAGAAGGGGCCGGCCACAGTGGGGGTAGGGCTTCAGGTGTCAATTACAAGCCTACGCTTTTTTTTGCCCGGTATTATAAATAGGCAAAGGGGAGAGTTATCGAGAGAGATCTCTGCCCGCACCGGAGGCATAACACACGACAAGCGGAGAGGACGGAGTTCGGCACCGCTGGCGATTCTGGGGGAAGAAGAGAGAGTACGGGACTCGTCAGGACACTCATATTCACCGGTAGGTACACACTAAGGCTGTTTTGTCCTGTCTGAAACCAGCTTTACAAAACTGATGCGGCTAAGACTGCATCTATCTTATGATTGCGTACAATGCATGTACTAAGCATTTGTTCACAATGCAAGCCGTATAAACTGCAAAATACGTGCTGCCTATTCATTTATGCTGTATTTTGCAGCAATCGACGATTGAAGATTTTTACAGTTCACTTTCTGGTGTTCGTTTTTTGCCCTTCTTTCTTCGAGCGTCCGTCGACTCTTAGAGAATATGTTTTCAGTCCGAGAAATGTATACTTTCGAGGTGATTCCATGACGGTTGTAGATAATATTATTGACCGATATTCTCTAGCAGATTCACAAGATTGTCCGAGTTTTGAGTTTGTTCATCTTTTGCTGATGTCGAATAGATAGAGACCTCAGAAAATGGTTCGGTTTTTCTTTCATTCTCCAGAATAGACCGGGTTACCGCTTAAAGCCATCCAATGCAATTTCAGGGCGGCAACACTGGATTTTCAATTTCTTGGCCATTCTTTGAATGTGGAAGTTTTAACCAATCCTATTCCATATCATCCTGATGTCTGTGAGGCAAAAATGCGATGTCACTGACGGAAAACTGTTGCTCGTTTTGTATGGTATACGTAGGCAGTGATGAGACTCACGTAGCTTATTTTGTGGCTACATATTTCGAACGCTTTTGAGTATGACATGATGACAAAAACGTGCCAAGAAATGCTAGTAAATGTGAACATTAGCCAAATTACCTCATCCAGAATATTTCTTGTTTCCCGTCCTGAAATTGCATTGGATGCCTTTACGCTGCTCTCAGTGGGTGTTTGACGATACTGTGGGGCATCAAATCGTAATGTGAATGTTTCAAGTGTAAGAAAAGAGACTGTAAAACCTCTCTCATTCCAACACAATCTCTTCACAGCGATAAGACCTAATATCTCATGCGGATTCAATTTTTCCTGAGCCGGCATCTAGCTTCTATACTTTTTTCCTTCAAAGCTACTTGTCGTATAATCTGTGTATATCCCCGTACAACCCTTTATCGATCATATTCAGCTGTTATATTATAGCTGCTTAAACGAAATCATCGAATGCATTCCCCTCTGTGAGTCAAAGTAGCTAGATATTGTAATGAAATAAATGCAGTGCAGTCTATCATAGCTGAGTGTCCGTGTACCATAAGCCCCGGCCACACATATTCAGAGCCAAGAATCCCCCAGACACCAGCCGACCGAGGTTGACTTAGGTTTGGGAACAGTCTGACCAGGTTTTGGGCGCGCCTACCTTTCTGCGTGAATCGAATCAAATTTGAGTTAAATTTGGGTCAGAGTTGAGTGCCAACAACACCCCGATCTACTCCCGAACACCAGTCAACCATCAGCCAACCATGACCCAACCTTCCGTCCACACTAGCCGAACTAACCATGGTTAGGAGTAGGTTGGGAGCAAGGTCGGCTGGTGTTCGGCTGCAGCAACCGGAAGTTGAAAATGTCTAAAACATTCGGGTGTAGACGGGCTGTTTGGCCATTGTTGGCTGGTGTAGGGGAGACCACCGGGGCGTGGTTGGCTGCCAAATTTGACTAGAATTTAACTCAAATTCGATTTGGTATACAAAGGTAAGCGTGGCCAAAATGTGGTCAGACTGCTCCCGAACTTCAGCTAACCTTGGTCGGCCAGTGTTCGGGGGAAGGTTCTGAATGTGTGAGAAGGTCAACATTCTAAATGTGTGACAGGGCCTCAACCTTTGTACTGACCGCAGTTACGTCATACCTCACCACCCTGTAGATTACAGTCTGATTCAACATTGTCCCCTTTCCTTTCATGTCCAGAGTGTAATATCCCGTCGTGATTTCATGTCTTGTGTTTATAATCTTCTCAATTTAGCGACTTGATTTAGCCAGATGCTCCACAGCTGATTCCGAGAATTCATTAGTAAGGTTTGCTTTTATGTGTGAAATTGCTGGGTTCAACAGCTGAGGGTAAAGGCCCTGTGATCGGGAGGTACAGTAGACAAGACGAAGATCAAATCGGCTATCATAGTGGAACAACCGAACACTACTTTCTACATTGAAAACTTTATTCCAGTCAAAGAAGTACTCTGTTATCATCTCTCTCCAACATAGTAGAGCTACAGCATCTCAATGACAGTTCTCTATGTTCCTTACTACTTCGAGGGTCCACATTACTTTCACACCTACAAAACTGTAATGTTTTGATGTAGTCAAAAACTGCATTTGTTGTACGGGTAGATTCTCGTTATTGATAGATCACCAACTTGTCTTCCTTGGTTTTCGCATGGCTCTTAGGTTAGGTTGTATTGGATATGGCTGGGTTCAGTTTGCCCCAGAGGAAGATCTGGTAGCGTAGTGTTTTTCGTTACATGACCTCCTTGACAGCTGGTGCTGTTTCCCTTGCACGATAAATAACTGCTTGTAGACACCATGGTGAATGAGAAGAGAACACAGTTACCATCACACAAGATCTAAACATTTCATGGAGGTCTGAGATCTCGGAACTCTTGCTCATCGGCATTCAGCCATTGTGAGATTCTCCATGTTTGGTTTCAAGTTGATTTAACAACCAGGACTAAAACATTAATGTAAAACAGGCCAGGATAATTAGATTTGGGCAAGTCCAAAATTTACTCAGTGTTGGTCTGAACGTTTAGCCTTTTTGTCTTGATTATTAGTTATGACAAAATTGACATAATTAATTTTTGTCAGAATTAGATGTGCCCAAGTTAGAATATCTAGGACATCTTCAAAAGAAATATCAACATCAAGTTTATTATTCGTATTTTGGGGGGAAAGTTGCATCAAAATTTAGATGGGCAAGGTGGTGGTTAGGGTTGTTGACTCAGAATCTGAAGGTCCTGAGTTCGAATCCCTGGCAGGCCCCATTGCTGTGTCCCTGGGAAAGGCACTTTGCCGATGTCATTCATATAATCAACATGGCCTTGCAATATTTTGATCTTTGTTCCAGAGGGGTGTGGGTATGTAGGTTTTTTTTATATTTCAATATGTAATCACAATATGTAGTTTGTGGCAGCGTTAACAATGTATGAGTGTTTTCGTCAGTGTACCAGCCTGACTTTTTTCTATTCCAACATTATTACAAGAAAATTACAAGACATTTATTACACCACACTCAAGTTTTTTCAACTTATCTTAATGCCGCCACCAACGCAGACAAATGCATGAACGGACATACTCATTTTCAGCTGAGTAAAGTGAGGAAATTCGTGCCTTTGGGCACGAGATCGATGGCATGGCAGGATTCGAACTCGGGACCTCTTGGCTCCGAGCCGAACGCTCTGTCGTTATGCCACACGACGCCACAAGATGCTGACCCCACAATGCTGACTTTCGTGTCTGTATATTCCTTTTCTCTGTTACAGTTTTGGTCACTTGTCATCTCCTGAACACCATGCAGCAGCCCGGCACCACACTCCGGCACGCCACCCTGGTGCTCCTCGCCCTGTGCATCGCCGTCACCCTCGCACACGTCCGGGCAGACGCCGCAGACGACACCGCCGCGTTGTTCAACAGCAGGGTCGCGAGAGACGTCGACAAGGCCACGAAAGCAAAGTTGAAACACATCATTCCGTTGCGGTTTGGGAAGAAATGGGCGGGCGGCTACGAGGATACACCGGCGGCGGGGATGCTTCGGTCGGCGTACGGCGGCGGCAAGCCAAGCGAAGACGGCGCGGAGCAAAGCCACAGCCACCGCGTCCACTCTAAAGCTCTACCACTAATTCAGCTGCTCCAGTACGCGATCCAACTCATGGAGGAGGTCATACAAGGCTTGGATATGGAACAAGGAGACATGCCATGAAACAACAGACGTCTCTCACCGCGACTAAAGCACACGCGAAAGATAAAACAAAGGACGTCAGTCACTCTCCTTGCACATAGAAATGTTTCTCGATATTGTAGAAAAGAATTTTAGATTCGCATTCCGTAAAAACACTTTTCCGCTACATATGCAGGACATAACCATGGTAAAAAAAACAAAAGACAGTTCGTGGAAGATGTGATGAGTACATTCTAATGTCACAACATGGTGTAGCTGATCCTTGATATGGGAGTGCCAATCAATAATAAAATATCAACCAATGTTTTGATAACTTGTTTCACATAATCAAGTATACTTGGACAAAACATGATATCGTTTGTAGATTGTGTACATGGATGGAATAATAAGAAGGAATATAACGGAAAATGACGTCAAAAATGTTCTGGCGTAATCATCATCTGTTACTCATTTTCGTACAACTCAATTATTACTAGTATATTAAAAGCTAATCCATTGAAATGCCCATCTGAAATTAGACAGTGAAAGTTGTAAATCATGTATAACAATAACAGATCCAACTGTTCACTGTGTGACGTTGTCATTTTAGGCCACTGGTGTTGATTAGTCTCTACCAGACTTCGGGAAGCGGCTGCAAAGAGTAAAAATATTGACCAAATAGACAAATAATATGCCAGGGGAGTTGGTCCGCATATTATCTGTCTATTTTGCCGAATTCTACTCTTTCCAGCCGCTTCCCGAAGCCTGATAGAGGCTACCCTGGTGTAACTGATCTGACGATTTGTTAGGTGATCGCCAAACGGAACTTAGGATGTTCAGGGAAAGGAACTTAGGATGAGGAGTGAGCTTCTATCCAGAATGACACAGTCGGCCATACGAACAACTGTGTGCTGACATTGACTACTATATGACTCAATGTTAATGCCAATTATGATTATAAGTAAAGTTTCAAATGTCTACCTACCTGTGGAACAAAGCCTTGTTGTTGTATTACGCTGTTGCATGATGTCCTTTTTGTCTAACACAAAACTGGAAGTCCTCTGACATTCTCTTAAGAGAACATTACTTCCGGTAAGGCCACACTGACTTAATTTTCTGGATGGCATCATATATGGAGACCCCAAAATTAATGCGAGAGGTGAGGAGGTAATTCTTTATTTTTTTAGGAAAGGCTGTATTCTATGCGCTGATGTCATTAAATCAGTCGCGGAAGCTATGCGCTATAAGTTTACATTACCAGCTATCATATCTGATTTTCGTTGACACATATAACACAGCTTAAGCACGAGACAAGAGAGACGCTATTGTGCGCTTCATGTGCCCTGGAAGCTAATCGTAATCAAATCTGCAAAAGACATTCATGAGAGTTTAATTAAAAGTCGCAATCACTATCTCCCTAGGTCGTTTAATACAGCAAAGGTCTATTCAAAGAAACGAACGTTGAAAGGAATAACTAACTGATATAAACGGTGGAGATAATCCAGAAGTAGTTTACAAAGGGTATGCTACTATATCAACAAAATGTGGTTAGGGTTGTTGACTCAGAATCATAAGGTTCTGGGTTCGAATCTCCGACAGGACTCATTGTTCTGCCCTTGGGAAAGGCACTTAACATATTTTTCCTCATTTGACTCAGGTGTAAATAAGTACCTACCTTCGGTTAGGGACGTCCCCTCGGAAAGCCACACCTTGAGCACGTTAAAGATCCCACCACACTGTTCGAAAAGAACAGGGGTCCTTCCCTGTGTGAGTGATTCAAACCTTACAGTCTTGTCTGCAGGTTTGAAATCTTTGAAGAGGTTGATAGTCACCTGTTATGTCAATCCTTCCCTTGTTTGTTTGTTTGTTTGTTTGTTTGAACATTCTTTATTCATGAGAAGCTCAAATTGGTCTCCAGGCCGATTTTTATTCAGAGGTCTAACCTGCATCAATCAAGTGAATAAAGAAACGACTTATAATATTCCCGTTTCCAACAACCCCGGTAAAAGTTAATTACAAGAAATGATAGCTAGCCTAGGCCGAGAATATCAGGTGGAGACGTAATTGAAATTTAGATCTCTGCTCTTTGAAAAACAGAGACATGGAAGCCCATGTTGATTTGGATTAATGGAATATCTAATATGGGTCGCTTTAATAATTCTAACTGTTTGTAATGTACACAGGATGTGCTGTACAGACCTCTACATTGGTAGCAAAATCGTGCAAGCTCGTGTCGGGCTATACAAACAACAATGTATTTTAAAGCTTTTCTTGCAACGTGCTGCATAGCAACAATTGGCAAGACTGAGGAAACACCAGTTCTTGACCTTCTTCAAGACTTCTAGCATATAATAGTTATTTCTGAAGAGCCATAGGTATACAAAAACAATGCCATTTGCAAGAATAAGCATACAACCACCACTGTCATTGACCTTCTTTCAAGGCTTCTAGTATGTCATAGCTCTTGTCCTTAAGAGCCGTGAATATACAAAGAGAGAACCATTCTTTAACGTGTACAAAAGAGCACCTGTCTTCCTTAGCTCTTTTGTGTACGTTCGTTTCATCAGAGGGCACTCCGCATCTTATGCTGAGGTCCCAATTCCCACACGAGGTCCGGCCGGGCAGCTTTTGGGAACGTAAAATACGATGTTAAAGACAACAAAACGCAGAAAAGTTCTAAATAACAATCATGGGCACTGTTTCTGTATATTCTTGATATGGATTGTTAATTTTTCGTTCATACAAACAACCCGGCCGGGCCCCGGTTTGGAAATGTGACCTAAGCATTAACGGGGCCAAAGACCTGATTCCGAGCGTTAGTCTAAATCTAGATTAGAGCCGAGAGGGCGCACAGGTGCTTTATTACTGCTTTAATAATCTCTTCTGACATCTTCAGAAACAGCTTACATGTGTGGGCAGAAGATTGTGCGCTGCCCTCAATATCCTGCCTGGTCATTTGCGCAGTGATAACATCTGCAAATCTGGGAATGGGCGCTAAGTACACTCCGGCTTTAGATGGCATATGGTGGCTACGAGAAGATTAAAACTTTGGCAAGCTTCTTGTAAGTTCTGCTCTTCCGATAAAGAAAGCGGTAACTCCGTGTTGTGTGAGAATTTTTTTATATTCCAACATTTCATGACCAAACATGGCGACGGCACACTCAAGTTATATCAACTTATTTAATGCCGCCACCAACACAGAATACAAATACAGGACAGTACAATACGCATTTTCACTTGAGTTAAGTGAGGAAAGTCGTGTAAAGTGCATTTCCAAAGGGCACAAGATCAATGGCATGTCAGGACTCGAACCCGGGACCTCTTGGTTCCGAGTCGAGCACTCTGCCGCTACGCTACACAAACGACCCCACAAGGATTTTGGTGAGAAACGTTAGTGATAAAACTGACTGAGGTCTCTTAGGTTATCTGAGTCTCCGAGGTTCACGTCACACTACATGACTAGCGATCTGTCCAACAGATACTGATTGGTAAAGGATAGTGTATACGAAGCAGGACCTTACCCCGAACACCAGCCGACCACGTCCTGCTGACGTTCGGGAGTAATCTGGCCAGATTAAGACCACGCTTACCTTTATCTACGAATCAAATTGGAGTTAAATTCGAGTCAAATTTCACCCCCGAAAACTTCTGACTTACTCCCAAAGGTTTGGCTGATGTTCGACGGTAAGTCAGGAACCATCGTCTAACCTCCCTACTAACCCATTCGGCTGGTGTAGTCAACCTTGCCGAGAACCAGCCGACCTTGCCATAGTTGGGGGGATGTTCGGCTAGTGTTCGTGAGGCTAAATTCGTGAATGTATGACAGGGGACTAATAAACCATATTGCTCGTCCTGCATCCATCCATCCATGCTGCATCCATCCCTGTCCTTAGTACTGAAAGTTCTGTGACGTGCCCCTTGTGACATCATTACATCAACAGTTACAACGGTGTCAAACTTAATGAGTCTGCTGACCCCACTGTGAATGTGATCTGCATTCAATGGATAGTTACTACACGAACGTAAAAATGTCTGAGACATTTTGTCTCTTCAAAGGAAAGGAAAGGAAAGGAAAGGAAAGGAAAGGAAAGGAAAGGAAAGGAAAGGAAAGGAAAGGAAAGGAAAGGAAAGTCATCTCAATCCAGTTTTAGCTCACTGAAAAGCTAGTACTTACAGGTTCATTGTACAGTCCCAGCTCTTTCCAAAAAAGCACAATGAACAGTGGATCATGGCTTAACATCCCATCCTAGGGTCTGTGACCCTTTCCAGCAGCGTGCGTGTGAAGTGAGTGACAACAGTAGGATTAGAACTCTTTGTCCAGAGGCAAATGCACTGGTATGTATGGCATGGCAAATAATAGACTATTCATTTTCATTTCTTCACATTTTCTTGAAATTGATTTTGGCATTACACAACATTTATCGTTTTCCAAATGTTTTATGCATTTTGCGGCACAACTTTGTATGATTTATAGTTGTATCATTCTTTAACTTGCGTGCATGGATGTCAATACAAAAATAACATATAATCAAATCAACAAGATCTATAATTAGGTGCGTAGCACTGTCTGTCTTGAAATCATATATCTTTTTAAGTAGAAGTTCTTGACTCCCAAGGTTTAGGTGGCCGTGTCTGTGTGGATAGTGTAGGCTCACAGTTGATAGGTTGTATGTCTAGTTTCTCTATCCCAGGAATTTCCCTTCCCTCTTGAATACACTGAACGATGTCAGCAAATGATGTGGGATAACTGGGTTGACTTGCAGTCTCCTCTTCAGTGCTTGTAGCATTGCTTGTTGCTGCTCTTCTCTTTTCATCAATACCAGATCGTGCCTCAGCATTTGATTTTTCATCTTCGATTTCACCATTCTCTAATGGAGGTGGGCACTCCATACCTGCAATGAGTTATATAGGTTATATGGTATATACTGTATGTATAAACACATAGTTATGTTTACTGAAGGAAAACATTTGCTCTGTTTCCTATTTTTTGTCCAAACCAGTAAGGCCAATGACCTGAACCAGACATCTGTCACCATGGTAACTAGTTTTGGGTTACATTATGTTGCAATTTTATGGCAGAAGGGATTTAGACCATATACCATATATATACAACAAACATATTTGGGTGCACTGGTGCACCCACAGAAAAAATTGTCCGAACTCAGTATTTCGAGCCCTGCAACTGCTACCACCTCAGAGACTGACATCCACAGGAAGGAAACTGAGAAATCACGACAACATCAGCCTTCCCTTGGCTAGAACAGAGCGCGGTTGAGAATATCTGTACTCTGCTTTTAGACTTTATGATGAGACTTTACAATAAGCTACCCTCATATGACCAAAATGGTGTTCCAATCTGTAGGACTTGTATTCTTAAGCCGTTACTTCGTATTTTTAAGACCTTTCTTTTAGAATTCTTTAAAGTGTCATAACTGCAATGTACAATTTAAAGTTTTAATTTTCACCTTGGAGATAATTTATAGTAGACAAATGCAAAAACATGCAAAATCTATTATGCCTCCCACTATAGAGAAATAATGCAATTATTCATGTTCTTAAAATGTGGCAGTTATCTTAAATTAAGGCATTTTTAGATTTAACAAGTTATTAGTGAGTGTACCGTGTACGTGACTTTTATGTACAGCCCCCATAATTCAGCTGTGAGGCTGCAAAGAGTTTTGATTTGTCAATAAACAATGTACAGATCTCTATACAAATTGAGTCAAATTTGAGTTAAATTCAAGTCACTGCTAAACACATCCTGACCTACTTCCGAACTTGAGCAAACCACCAGCCAACCATAGATAGCGCTGAACCTCCACAGAGCAGCAAACCTGGCCGAACACCAGCCGACCTTGCTCCTGACCTACTCCTAACCATGGTTGGGGGGAGTTCGGCTGGTGTTTGGGAGGCCGTATTAGTATATGTCTGACATGGACTTTAAAAATAAAAAACTAGTACTGACCTTTTAGCCCCTCCGCATCCAACCACTTCTTGAAGCCATCAACATCAATACAGGAGTGTTTGGAGCTTGGTCTGTAATCATAAAATTAATGCAATATTGTGTGCTTATAATATAAGTTATATACGGTATACATAATTAATGGACATGTGATTCTTTGTTAAAAATAAATAACAGCAGATCATACACTATTACTGACAGCAAAATCATTCAGCTTTAACATACTTCAATATGATATGATATTGTACAATACAATACAAAACAGAAGTTAAGTCAAATACATTATTTTCTATATGCATCAAGTGAGCTCAATTTTTCTAAAAAATTTGGATTTCCAAACTGATTGCTAGTTGGACAATCTATCCAAATGACTGAAAATCCTCTTTGAACTGTGTAATTTAGTTATAAAGTACTAGTAACGATACACTAGATGTGTATACTAGATGTGTATTACACTAGATGTGTATTACACTACATGTAGATGTATGTTGTACTAGATGTGTATTACAAGTATGTGCATAATACACTAGATGTGTAAATTTACAGTGTTACACTAGATGTGTATTACACTACTAGTAGATGTGTATTACACTTTTTGTTTGTACATGTACAATGTAAATGTAAAAGTGGTTTGTAAAAATAATTTGTAAAAGTGCTTCAATTCACAATTCAAAATTTTGTTATCTAAATATGTTTTTCAGTTTCATTTCAATGTACCAAAAACTATAATGCTCAATAATCATTCAATATTTGGCAACTTCAACTTTTATGTAGCTAATTATGTCTAATTCCTCTGAGGCCATAATAATTAGCAGAAGGGAATTCAAAACTGATGAATGACGGCGTATTTAATAAATCAATAATAAGACGGCTGGGTTTAGTACATAAAGACTAATCATAAAGATAATAAAGGGGTCTGACTTATAATCCACCACAATAATTGGATCAAAAATTACCATTGATAACATAACAAACTTGAAGGCCTCAAAGAAATTTCGGGGCAGCAAAACAATTAAGATATCTTGGATGAGGAAATCTGTCAGATATTTATGATTTACTGCAATTTCTTAGCACCAATTTTCACAATAGCCCCAAATCAATCTGCATGACAATTAAGTTAAGAAACAAGCAATGGAATTTCTATGAGTGATATTGCCTCACAGTCACAGATATATCAGTATGCTATATGGGATAGGGCCTCTCATTCTAATTTCTCAATAAAAACAAAAAGGGATAAACAGGTGTCACAAATAAGACACAATTAATATTACATCCACAATGTACAATCATGGTAGGCAAAACAAAAACACTGATCCATGCTACATGCATGGAATGACTTTGATTAGAGCCACATTAGACTGGCCATGTGCAGTCTAATCCAATAAATCCCCTCATTAAGTGGGATTATGACTTTATTAAGGTTGGTGTCTGAGTGTGCTGCACTGTGATTGACCACATATGATCCCGGGCCTACAACAAGAATTTAGAAAGCTCATACCTCCATGAAATATTTTGAGCTTTTGTTAATAAATTAGTTTTTCGACGTCCCATTGACTACGGACATATAAGGTTGTAATTAGTAAAATTGATGGTTTATATATTTTACCAAAGTCCTTATGTAACATTATTGCATGCTGCACTTCATAACATGACTGGTTGGTGGCCTGCTGACATTACCTGTAAAATTTGTTGAAGTAAAACACCTTTGCTCTGAGGATTTCTTCGTGATCCTGGCTAGTTTTTTCTGCCGACAAAATCTTGCGAAAGCCGTCCTGAAACCGCCGGTCGTTCTCAAAGTCATGCCGATAAAACGCCATATAAATATCACTATCTGTGTCCCCTGCTGTTGTCATAGTTTTTAAAAGTGAGCGGAAAAGATTAGGAAGACAATTTTTGGGACACTGAACGGATGAACTGCACTGTATGAATGGAATCATAGACCAGTGAATCATCTGCTAGCTTTCACTGAGTGTGAACAAATTTTACTTTGTTTGCTCATGCAATAAAACTACACAGACGGGTAGTTTTTGGCGACGCCTCAGGGGCGGAGGCATTTGTGTAAGTACTGCGATCGCTTTGAAAGAATTTCAAAAATTGCACGAATGCATTCCCTAGGGAATTGGTTTTGAGGTAGCCTCCGGCCTTGTGGTCATCGGAAAAAGCAGGAAAGGCCTATGTTACCATGCATGCAAATGGCACCTTTTCAGGCATACTGTGGCTTTTTGCACACAGAATGTTAATGATTGTCTTTATTGATATTTCAAATATGTTTTCTTCTATCAAGAGAGAACAAATTTCTTGCTCAGGAGCAGCATATTCAAGCTTATAATACTTCAAATATGTTTTTAGTTTCAACTATATGATGCTGGTCGTTTTTTTATAACTTTACTGTGTGACACATGTAGTGTAACAGTGATGTTTTGTGTAAGAAATTTTATTCACTTGTGTGTTTTCTATCATGTATGTTTGTGTCAGTCTTGCTTTTTAGTTTTTATTTCTTTGCTTCCATGATG